CAGCATCTTCTCACCGGCCCCACACTGACCCTTCCCCTGCCTGCAGCGAGGCCGCATCTGCCAGGCCCTCCACACCCCGCGTCCCGCACACCCACTGCCCACACGCCCTCGTTCCCAGAGGCCTTCCTGTGTTCCACATGCTCCTCGCTCATTCCATCTAGGCCGGGGCTCTCAGGCCCCGTCCTTCCCCGATGCTCTCTGCCACAAGCCTTGGCACGGGGGCAGATCCCGTTCAGGGCCCACGGCCCTTCGTTCCCCGCTGCGCCACGGGCTGCAGAGGGCCTGGCCATGGCCACGGCGGCAGTCCTGGCTCCTGGGCGCTGCTCCGAGTGATGTAGACCTGGGCCCCGCTCTCACCGTGGGGCATGCTGGGCACCGGGGCACCAGCTGGTGCGCGGGAGGCAAGTACACAAGTGTGGCTCACGGGGAAGGGAGGTGGGGGCCTTGGTCCCCTACGGTCTGAGACCCCAAGGCCCAAACACTGACACCTTGCTGACCCCCGGCTGGAAACGTCTCCTCGAATCCCCACAGCCATCTCCCACCACACACTTCAGGAAGCAACCTGCCCAAGGCCAAGAGGACAGTGCTGGGCTCAGCAGACAGGCCGTCCCGCGGGAGCAGGAGAGGCCACAGAGATGCCTTCCCCACAGGGGCCTGCGTGACACGTCTGCACAGATCCTTTCCCGGAAGGACCCAAGTCCATTTGACCGCAGGTGGGCCATTCGGACCTTTATCGGCATTAAAGACACCCTAGGACACGGTCAGGCCGCTTCCCCGGGCAGGTATGCACTGGGGGCCTGGGGCCCAGGGCCTTGAGCACCGGCACCATCTGCTCTGAGCGGCCGTGTGTGGTGGCCCTGCCTCAAGAGGTCGTGACCTAAGGCTGACAGCGTGCAAATGACCGGATCCGAAGGCAGGGGAGACCCCACAGTTCTTTTCCCATTGATTCACTGCCAGCCCCGTGAAGAGTGTGACTGAAGACGGCCCTCCGGGCGTGGGCAGTGGGGGTGTCCTAGTTAGGAGTCAGGTGGCCTCCGGTAGCACAAGGAAGGAATTTAGTAAACGCCTTAAGGCAAATGAAGCCATCTTGCAGTACTCACCCGGAACAAGATCTTTCTTTTTTTTAAACAAAACCAGCAGGTTGTGGGAAGCGTAAGGCCTCTGACGGCACCCTGGGCACCAGCCCCGTCTACCAAAGCCGCCACAGCCTCGGGATGGATGGGAGGAGCCGCTCTTAGAGCCACACACATGTGCTGGGGGAGGCAGGAGGAAAGTGGCACTCACTGGGACACACCCGCGGCAGGAGGGCCGGCTCCCCAGTGTCAATCCCCAAGGACCAGCCAGAGCCCCGACTGTCCCCCGGGAACCCAGCTCTTTGACCCCAGGTGTGGTGCTCTTCATTCCGGGAATCACCCGGAGGCACACTCACTCCAGAATCAGCCTTGCAGGACGTCCGTCGGGAGGAAAGGACCCCAGCCCGTGGCAGGGGGTGCCCCCACCACCCAGTGAGCCTTCCCCACTGCACCCAACAGCACTCACCGTTAGCTTGGAAATGCTCAGGACCACCCACTGCACAACCAGCCTCCTACCCTCTTCCCCACCCCCTTCACGGTCACACCCTTCAGAGGATGGAGGGGTCACTTCAATGCAAGCTGAGGTCAGCCCCCCCCCACCCCGAGCATGCCTGTCTACAGCCACCAGCGGGCAGCACCCCACTGACCCAGTGCCCACGGGCCTTCAGGTGAAGCTGTCCACTCCCCACGGTGCCTCACTGACCCTGACCCACTTCCCAGAGCGCACCCCACACAAGGCAGCCACTCACCGTGTGGGTCTATTCGATTCAAACTTAGAGACACGAAAACTAAAACTTCAGTTCCTCGGCCGCATTTTCCAAGTGTTGAATAAGCCAATACGTCTAGAGGTGACTGGGCACTTCCATCATCCCAGAACCTTCTACTGGACGCTTGCTCCGGAATCCATCCCGCTGGCTCTGTGCATACCAGGGTTTCCCTCCCTGCACCCCCTCTGGCCCCCTTGCCACCCGGGCCAGGCCCCTGCACCTGTACACACGTAAACACCCACATCGGGTTACTGAGAAAAATGCTATAGTGAATGCGGGGGTGCACAGCTCTCTGGGACATTGATCTCATCTCCTTTGTGTAAACAAATTCAGTAAAGTTGCAAGTTAAATATCAATATATGAAAATCAGGTACATTTCTCTACCCTAACGATGAACTATAAGAACAAGAAATCAAGAAATCAGTCTCATGCACAAGGGCTGCAGAAAGAATAAAACACTTAGGAGCAAAAGACTGAAAACCATAAAATGCTGATTACAGAACCCAAGGACAACAGAAACGCAAAGGTGCCCCGTGCTCCTGCCCCGGGCGCTCTGCCTGGGGGCCCGGGAGCATCAGCAGAGCTTGGAGAAGGGAATTCTGCTCGGCAGGAGGCCAGGGGTCCACTGTCAGCCCACCCGGAGGAGCGGGCAGAGGGGGCAGCCGTGGTGAGGGCAGAGGAGAAACCGCGGGGGGCATGCCTCGTCAGGGGCCCTCGCAGGGCCGCCATGCAGCCCGCATCCCTCTGGGTCCCTCTGGGTCCCTCTGGGGCCTGCGGGAGGAGGCCGAGCTCCCGGCAGCACTGTCAGGTCGCAGCATTCGGGGCAGGAGCTGTCGGAATGGGGACCCCCACCCCACGACTCCCCCCATCCGCGCTGGCTCTGAGTCCGCCCCTGTTCACGGGAGAGCAAAGCCCACGCGCCTCCTGGCAGATGCACACCGAGAGGTTAGCCTGGGGAGGAGAAGGGAGGGTTGGAGAGAAGGGTGAACAAAACAAGGGCTGGGGACTGACCACCTCTCCCCGCAGCTGCAGACCGAGGGCAAAGGCCCCTCTCATCCAAGGTCATCAGCACCCACACACCGCGTGGAGGATGAGACGCCTCCTTTCCACACACAGCCTGCGGACGGGGAGCCAGAGGCAGAGTGGGCGGCCAGGTAACGGAGGTCAGGCAAATGGCTCCCACGGCCAGGGCTCTCCAGGAGGCCGCTGCCTCCTCCAGCCACGGCCGCCTGCACCAGCACCGCTTCCCGTAACGCGCCACGTGCCCAGGGGCAGGGGCCACCTCCCTGAGGCTCGGCCGGTTCTGCACTGCCTGTGCTATTTAAATGCCTGTTTTCAAGCCTGCGCTGACCTCATTCACATTCGCGCCACTTCCTGGTCCGGAGCCTGGGCGGAGCGGGTGACCCCAAAGCCTCCGTTGACACACCACCCCGGAGGACTTCGCGCTCCCTCGTGAGAGTTAAAGAGCTACTGAAACCTCTAATGGCCCAGCTAGTAAATACCCCAGTTTAGGGGAGAGCGATCACAAGCACGCCATCCTCTGATTACGATGTATTTCCATTGCCAAAAGACGCAATACAATTTCATGGTTACTTGGGCCTGTAAAATAGAAATATCCCCAATTTTTAAGATATGAAAAGGTTTACGACCAGGGTACTGTCAGTTCAAGAATGAGTCCGTGGTACAAATGAGTCAATTCATGACAAAATTTAATTTCAGGAAAATTAACTCAATAAAGATGCCACAACCGTGCTCAAAGTTTTAATGCCTATTAGGAGTTTTAGCGAGTGCAGGGCTGGGGACGCGCAGATCCGTTTCCTTGCTCCTCAAAACACAATTGACTTCATACTAATGTATCCGTAATGGGGACAGTATTACAAGGAACTTGGTGTTTAATGAGGGGGCAGGGTGTCCAACAGCCTAACCCTCACAAATGGACAGCGTTGCAAGTCACGGGATATTAAGTTTGTTTCCTGTGATGCTACAGAGACCCAGCTAATAGCACCGGACTGACAGCCACTTTAACCAAACAGCCCAAGGAAGGCTTTATGTCCCGGCGAAATCCAGCGGCCAGAAACTGTAACCGCCGGGTGCCAGGAAAGCAAACCTAAGCGGGGGCCTGCACGCCAGCAGCCAAGCGGGCGTCAGTTCCGTAGCCGCCATCACCAGAATGTGTGAGCCGCCAGAAAGGACGGCCTCGTCCACACGGCGGGCTCAGAAACACACGACAGCCGCAGGCCCCAGGCGGGACGCAAGGACCACCCTCAGGAACAGAACTCCGCGGGCTCCCGTCACCACGAGCTCAGAGTAAGATGGCAGCTGGTGCGGGGGCTCCGACCCCACAGGAAGAACGCACGGTCCACACCAAGGGCCCCTTTGACGGAGGGACGGGGAGTGGAGCGCAAGACACGCTCTCGGGACCCCTGCCTCCCACCCACACGGTCGTGGACACCCACGGCAAGGCTCCCATGACGGCGCCCAACCAGACTGACCCTGCCTGCGCAGCAGCCGCCACGGGGAGCTCCCTTCCCGTCTCCAAAGGTGCCGCCCCCGGCCCGGGGCCCGCGCAGGCCCGGCACCCCTGCAGCACACCCTGCCTCCCAGTGAAGAGACGGGCACGTAAGGCCCCTGCCTTCTGCGGCCATGATGGATGGCAGGCGTGGAGCCCGCGGCACCGCCTCAGCTTCGGCAAATGTCTCCGACAAAATGAAAAGGTGCCAGAATAAGCAAGGGGACACTCGAGGGAACAAAGGTGGTTTGTTCCAGAAAACTCAATCTCCTGAGGAAACGAGTTCCATCAGAATCGGTGGAGAGGAGAAAATTTCACATTGCACTGAACCTGTCAGTGAGTTTTTAGAAAATCTTTATTATAAGTAAGCTCAAAACGGAGACAACCCGTGAGTCCTGAGTGAGATCGTTCCCCACAGCTGCGGCTCAGGCCCACCGACCCGCTCGTGAGCCCTGGGGACGCGGTCACCGCACGAAGGGAATGAAGTTCAGCTACAAACAGAACCACGGAAGTTCTTCCCGTTTTACATCGTTTCCCATGACGACACCAGAGACGGGACATTTAAAAGACCGCCTGTCACAGAGCAGGCGCCTCGCAGGAAGGGAGGGGGGAGGGGAGGAGGGGGAGGTGGGGGCGCACAGGGCGGCTCACCTGGTAGGTGTCCCACAGGCGGATGGTGCAGCGGAGGGGCACCTCCCTCATCAGCAGGTTGTTCATCCAGCGGAAGGCGAACTGCAGGTAACGCACCTCGTGCTGCTCCAGGTGCCGGTGCACTTGCTCTGTGCGACACAAACACAGGCCGTCAGGGAGAGCCGTAGGGTCCCCGCCTCAGAGCCCCCCCCCCCAACCGCCAGACACACAGCCCCGGCCCCCCCGCAGCAAGGGAGCCATTTGGACAGACGCTTCCTCCGGGAAAGTGAGCACTGGGAGCAGGGGCAGGAAGACACGGGCTTCGAGGATGCCTCCCAGGTCCCCTGCTCCCTCCTCCCTGCTCCCAGGTCCCCTGCTCTCTGCTCCCAGGTCACCTGCTCCCTGCGGGCCAGCAGGCGGATGCCCCACCCCATTAGAGGCACAGTACCACTGCCCCTCCGTGGGGGAGAAAGTGGGCATGTGGTGGCGCTTTCTCCTGCCAGGGCAAGTCTACCACACCCGGGCTGTGGTCCCAGGAGGGGCTCGGACAGAGAAACGGGGAGCCGGGAGCCTGGCTCCCAAAACCACCTCAAGCTGGGCCCGGGCAAATGCCCCACCTGCCCAGGGACCCAGCCAGTGAGCAGGCCAGTGGGCCATGGGCCTGGCTCTGGGCCGGGGCATCTGGAGTCCAGATTTGGGGCTGGCCTCTCAGAAGGGCCAGGCTTTACCAGCCATCCCCTCCCTGACGCACCAGCACCCACTGGCCACCAACTGTTCCTCCCTCCCCTGCTCTGCAGCAGGCCGAGCCCCTCCCCTGCTCTGCAGCGGGCCGAGCCCCTGCAGCCTGGGCCCCTGTGCTGCCAGGTAGTCAGCACACACTGACAGTGTGGAGCCTGCTTGGGATTCTTTCTCTCTTCCTCTCTCTCTGCCCCTTCCCACTTGTGCTTAGTTTCTCTCTCAAAATAAATAAGCTTAAAAAAGAAAAACAGGAGGGGGCAGGAGGGGTGAGAGCACCGGGTCCTGAGACCCTCTGCATCACACAGGCAGTGACAGGCTGAAGTGTGAGTGCCTGGCGGGAGGTGCGCCCGCCTGCAGGGCAGGAAGTCTGGCCACAGAAGAGCTCTGAGCACCGCTGGGACCCCGGCCCCAAACCACCGCTATCCCTGGCTGAGCGCAACAAGCCCGCCTGGACACCCGGGCGCGGCAGGCGGGGCGGGACACCTGCGGCCGGTGTGGGGGAACGGCCGGGGCACGCGGTGAGACTGGTCACAAGACAGTGACTAATTGCACGGGGCTGATAAGCACACAGGCTCATCCTGGGGCCCTTGCAGCCAGCTGGGAGCAAGGTGCCAGGGAGGAGGCTGATGGCACCAGGCAGTGGGAAGACCCCAGAGGCCCCCAGCCTGCCATGTGCTGCCACTTCAGGTACAGAGGTAGGGACCGGGGGCTCCACGCACTGCATGGGGCAGGCCCGGGCCCAGGCTGCCAAGGCCAGGCAGCAGGCAGAGAGGGCAGCCCCGGGGGTGAGGGGGGCTGGCACCTGCTCCCCCCGGTATCCAGCTCCTGCAGACAGGGCCCCCCCCCCCAGAGGGCAGCTCGCATGCCAGGGGAGGGGCTGGTGTGGGGTCTGCTCTGTGCAGAGGCCCCGGCACAAGCCCGAGCGAGCTCAAGGGAAGCGTGCATCTCCACACGACCGGCCCCACTCATCCGCCCTCGAGAGCCTAGGGAGGACACTCCTGGGGATGCGGGGCTAGAACAGAGCAGGCACCGGGGAGCTGGTGGTAGGTGTCCCACAGACAAGGGCCCGTGCCCTGTTCCTGGGGCACTTGGTGAGCGCAGGAGGGGAGACAGCTGGGAAGCTCAGGGGCGGGTTGGCTTGACCACTGAGCGCAGCAGGGACTGACATCATCCCTTACAGCAGGGCGTCGCCCTCGCCCCCGTGGCTGTTAGAGAACACAGGTGCTCAGACCCTTCTCAACGTCCTCGATCAGAACCTCCCAGGTGGGGTCTGAGAACCTGTCCTAGGTCCCCAGGAGATCCCCTCCAGGGGGCCCGAGGCTCAGAAGGACAGGACTCCGGCCTCCCGCACGGGGTCCAGGTCCCGGAAGTTCCCGCACAGGCCACGGCAGGTACAGGCCGCAGGCGCTGCTCACCGGGCCCACCTAACCGTGTTCTTCTCATCAACATGGGTTTCACAAGACAATTGCTTTTACATAAACTTCATTTCACTCCCAGAGAGAAGTCTCCACTCGCTCCAGGGGTGGGTGACATCGCCAGCGATGGGTCCGTGGTGGGGCCTCCCTGGCAGAACAGAGTCACAGCTTCTCACTGAGAAGAGCCCCAGACAGGAAGGGGTGACCCTCTCCTGTGTCTCCAGCCTCTCAGCTCAGGAGCACTTTATGCCACCAGGGGGTTCCTCTCAAGAAGTCTGCAGGATTCCATAAATGGCCCACAGTTTGCGAAACCCTGGTGCACAGAATAAAACTGGAACGGCTCAGAGTGCACGGCGTTCTCGGCCCTCAATGCCCCAACATGCCCCCCGGGGTGTCTCCCCAGGTGACACCAGGTGCCACGATGCTCAGCGACGCCTGGCCACCCCGTGTCCCTCACGCCACAGCCCTCCTCCTGGCCCCCCAGCCTGTCCCTACTCACGTGCCCAGCACCTGGAGAGTTGTCTCAGACACCCCCTCCTTCCTGGTGCCACAGACACCTCGAGGAGACCATCTGTCGTGCCGTCCTGGGCTTCATGCTCAGGGGCCGTGCCCGCCCTGCAGTAGGGGCCATGTGCAAGTGCCCTCTGTGTCTGTCAGATGACCAGCCGACTGAAGGAACCGTGAGTGTGGGGAGAAAACATGACCGACCATGGATGGACGAAGCCCCAACCTGCGATCTTCCTTCTCTGCCTCTGCTCCCCAATCCCCATTGCCGGAGGCATCCCCAGGCCGCGGTGCAGGGGAGGGGCCATCCTCACACCGTGGTGCTGGGGGCATCCCCACTCTGCGCTGCCAGGGGGCATTTTTAGCGACACGACAGGATGCTGCTCTTTTTAAAGAACTGAAAAATGACTTCTAACCTGCAGTCCTCAGCAGGTACAAAACTAAACTTCTGGAGAGTTCCGAGGGCCCCCAGTGCCCCTCCCCTCCAGGCCTGACCTTTGCCTGCTGCCCCAGGGCAGAAGCCCCACCAGCTGAGACCAGCTTCCACTGCGGGGAGTCACTGACACGGGCCCTCTGGTAAGTACTTGAAACCCAGCAGTTTAGGGACTTGCGATCTCCCTGAAGCAGCCTCCCCCTCCTCCACCCAGAGTGGAGCCACTTCCCTGCGTGCGCTGCCGGATGCCTGCGAGCAGGTGGGCAGACCCCATCACTGCCTGAGAACAGCCAGGGAGGAGGGAGGCCGGCGCGGAGGACGCTCCAGGGACAGGCACCCGGCCCCGGCTGGTGGTCACAGTCCCGCCGGTCCCTCCAGGGACAGGCCCAGCACCTCATGCACGGGCACAGGACAGAGCCCAGTGCTGCGGCAGGTGGGCAGCCTGGAGCCCCCCAAGGCATGGCGGCCTGCCCACCTGCCCCCGGCAAGCCACCCTCGTGTGCATGGCACAGCCCAAGCCCCAGCAATGACAGCAGGGCAGTGGTCACATTTTAATAGTTGGGAAAGACATGCCACCTCCAAGCTGTCTAACATGGGTTCACGCTCTGATACAACAGGTCACCACACACTTGGACACTGCTCATGCACCCTGCCCCTGCCCAGTAACACAGCGGTCTGTTAGCGGAGGGGCCATCAGACCCAGGGCACCACGGAGGGGCTCTCCCTGGGGTGCCACCAGTGGGTCCTGCCTCAGACCCTGGCCTCCTGGAGGACAGGGACTTTTGTCCCGGCCCGGGGGCGGACACGGAGCCAGGTCTGGGGCTGAGGGAGAGCAGCGGCCACAGCTGGACACCCGCGGGAGACGGGCACGGGACGGAAACTGGGGACGCGCACCGCCCGCGTGAGGCAAGGACAGAGCAGCCCCGGCCTCCGTGGCCAGGCCCCCGCGTCGCTGTCGTGCTTCCAGCATGCGTGAGGACAAGGTCACCGGCTTACACGCTGGGGAAACTAACAGCTCTTGACACGTGCCCGGAAGGCAGGGGACACCTTTCTAACGTGACCTGGCGAGCCAACGGATCTGGAAAATTACACACACATTTCCAGAACCTCTATCACTGAAGCACCCTAAGTAAACGGTAAAGATTAACCCCTTCTCTTCTACAGTGAGCTCCAGCTGGCGCCCCACGTGCAGTAAGTCCCCGGCCCCCGCCCCACGAGGTGCAGACAGCGGCAGGCCCTGGCTCAGGCGTGGCCAAGAGGAGCCCATTGCAGCCAGCGCTGCCAGCGCCCTTCATGAAGGGGCCAGGCCTGCAGGACCCTGACCCGGGGCCCAGTGCACGGAGGTGGGCTGGGAGGCGCCCACGGATGCGGGTGAGGAGCAGTGGACTGGAGACGGGACTCAGCACCGCGCCACCCCACGTCCCGCAGCGACCCCACACTGACAGATGGGTGCAGGGACTCGCCCTGGGTCTCCGGGTACCAGCACTGGGGGCGCGGCCGCTGTTTTCTGCAGAGCACGGCCCGGCTCATCTGGGAAAGCACGGGCTGCAGGAAAGACCAGAAACCCGCCGCCGCGCTGACCCCACAAAGACACAGGCAAAGTCCTTCCAGAACAAGGGCTCCTCATCCACCAGCTCTTTCAGGGACGATATCCCGGGTCTCCCCCACCCCCGCCACGTACCCCGGCCCGTGGGAGAGGAAGCTGAGCAGACGAGGCCTGCGTCCTGCCCCCCACAGCTCAGCAGCTTGGAGGAGAGACACAAAGGAAATTCAACCTTGAACCTGACAGTTGTCCGTTGTTCCAGAATAACGGACCCTGCGTGCCCAGGAGAGCCGGGCTTCTCGCTGCCAGCTGGGGGCCTCAGCGCTCCTGAGAGGGGCTGGAAAGGCACGGCCCCTGCCGCTGTGGGGGGGCCGCGAGGGCCAGGCGTGGCCCACGTGAGGCACCACGGCAGGACACCCCGGCCTACCACCCACAGGGCGTGGCTCACGCCGACGTGGCTTCTCGGGAAGTGTGTCGTGGAGGGTGACAAAGCCGGCCCCCCACGGCCCCCCAACG